CTTATTTAGATATACAGACCAGATCTCTGAGAGGAGCTCGGTTGAGCCCTCCTCGGCAACAGGCTCCGCCCCCCCGGATCAATTGGGTGTTTTTTGAATGCATCAACAATTTATAGTATGTATGTGTCTAGAAAACAACACATTTTAACTAACTAAAACAATAATTTAAATCAAAGCTGTGCAATTCTAAGATTCACAATGAATCTTTTGTGTGTGTGTGTGTGTGTGTGTGTGTAGATATAGATATAAAGATAGAGATATATATGAGCATGCCTGATCCATCTATAGTGTGTGTGTGTGTGTGTGTGTGTGTGTGTGTGTTTGTTTGTTTGTTTGTTTATAAATGAATCATTATTTATACATGAAAGTCTAGAAAAAATAGGTTTTCTTGTTATTCCAAAATTCTGAGATACAGTAAGGGATTGTGAGGACAGGAGCAAAATAAAATACCCTTGATTATATTTGTAGATGATAGATGATAATGCTGCTAGTAATAAACTATTTTAGGTATTGAAATTATAACTAATTGGGAATGTATCGTCAAATAATAATAATTAACTTGAATCATGACTATTAATTCAACATTCTTTGAGGATCTGTGAGCATAAAGCACAAATGCAATTGAACACAAATCTTTGTCATGCATAAATGCTGTGGCTTTACTTTACAGTAAAGTAAATAATATTACTATAATAGTATATTGACTGTGTGAACATCTCATCTTCCACCCCAATTTTGACAGTCACCATTTTTAAATATGCTTATTTTTCTTGTATGTTAATTTTCTGATGCTTCATGATTCCTTCTTTCTGATTTTCTTCGTAATTCTAATCTCAAATTCTTTACCCATGTACACTATTCAGATGAATTAATGTATTAATTTATTGTGCTCACCTGCAATAACCTAATATCATGTGTTGGACTAGATGGGCTTGGCCTTCTTACTAATCCAGACATTGAATAGTCTTTCACTGTTACATTAAAATTTCTTTTCCTGTGAAAAGATATCTGAAATATGTTACTGAGTAGCTCTGGCAACAGATCTACAGTGAGATTTGCATTATCTCACTACAGAGATCCAAGCTAAATTGATCATCCATGTCGCTATAGCATAATTTCTGTCACTTAGAGAAAGTTAACTGGCATTTTACCAGTTGTTCCTTCAACCTTTGTACAAGAATCTTTGACTTCTGTGCTAAGGCCTTTGGCAGGCTTTTCTAACTTCCAAAGAACATCTTCAGCTTATTCAATCAGCAGTTGTGAGGGTTTCTCCTGAGTGATTACATAACTTTGATCTTAATTTTATGTCACTTGTTTCTTCAGCTTTTTTTCCTGATTGTAATAATCACACATGTTCACATATAATATGCAGAAGTGCCTGTAACCTATTCATTGCTCAGCAGTGATAGATCTGGTAATAATATACTTGCAGTTCTCTCTGTGCTGTACTTTGTAACACCCGGAGTTTAATTGAAAATATACTCTGACCTTGGTTTTCTTCATTGGGCACAGAAAGGACATAATTGCTGTGAAGCTGCTGAGATACATTATCCCAAAATGTCATATTGCTAATTTTGGCAGTAGAAGTCCATCCTACTAAAAGAAAAATCCCCAAAAACCAAATATAAATATGCAATGTGACACTGTTCTGTATTGATAAAAGAAGTGTTTTTTTTTAAAAAAAAACAACCTTATTTTTCTGTACCACTTTGTTATTTTCAAAATACCATGGGAGTGTAATCATTTGATTTCTTCTAGTGATCTATTCCCTATTTATTATTATTACATAAACAGCTTATAAACTGCAGACCACAAAAATATCTATACTCCATTTTACCTTCCAAAGGTTTCCATAGTTACAAAGGACAAGATTATAATTATCATTTGCTGGACAGAGGATTCTTAACAGCATTTCCACTTTCATACATAATTGTGATTCTCCTTTCAAATGCATTTTGTTGGATAAACTGTGATTGTGATGGATATTCTATATGTCTATAAACATTATATTGCTATAGTCTATAAATACTGTCCTCTGGATATGTAGAATGTTTCTATTATTGGATGTTTTCTTTAGATTTCTATGAGTTTTCTTATTGTGTTTTATTTCCTTCATGTATATTCCTTAAGGTGAATGTTAAGGAGTCTAAACAGTAGAAAGACTTTAGAAGATCAATGCCCTTTCAAGAACTACTGAAATGAGGATTAAATAGGCCAAGGATCAACCATCCATTAGTATAATGAAACAGCTGCTTTGTAATTTTCCCTAATCAGTAGAGATTACAAATTTACAAAACCTGATTTAAAATGTCTTGTAATGAGGTGGAAAAGTAAGTTATTTTCCAAAGGTCAAAGTAAGTTAGTTTTGTTGATGACAGTGTTTCCTCATTTTTTTCAGTAGGAGTGAAATCTAAGAAATGTATCCAATATTCCCATATATGCATAAATCCATAAGTTAATTATTTTTCTAAATAGATTATGTTATGTGAACAGTAATATATGTATCCTATTTTTCACAATACAAGATTTTCCCCACTGATACGAAATTAAACTGTTTTGAAGCTTTAAAGGAAAGTCTTCAGCAGATAGTATTTTTGTTCTACTAAACATGTGTATTGTATATCTCTGCACTCCGGGTTATTAATGTGTTTAGAGCTTGCTGTAATTTATAAGACTTCAGTTTGGGCCAATTTATAGGGAATTTCATTAATCTCTACAGCACAGGGACCTTGCAGTGAGCAAGAGATTCAAAATGAATCCAGAGCTGGGATTTAGGTCCAAGCACAAATGAATCAGTACTCAAGAGATTTTGAATGATAATAATAATTTGCAAAGTTGAAAGTTCTTTTTCACTTATTCAAAGATCTGAAAGAAGCAATTTTGGAAGGTAACTTGAAAATTGCCGACTCTTTATTTTTGCATTTGGGACACATTACTAATGACAGTTTCTGTCCTGCAGTGGTCAAAATATGAGGATTGGGGACAATGTGTATGAGGAAATAAAATCACTTGAAGCTTTTTTTATATCTGTTTCCTAAAGTAAGCAAACAATAAGTATTCTGTTAGCAGATGTATTCAAGATATAAAAGCTTTTGGACATCCCTTGGCATAAATAATCAAAGCCATTTTCCTCCCTGGAGGAAAGATTTGCAAACCTAATATGATTTATAGATTTTTTTTCCACATAAAACAATGTGCTTTGGGTAACTTAACTCACTACTCAAAACTTTTGAAGAGCACCAGCATGGGGAAGTATGATATACTAAGTTCTTAAATTACATATAAAGGGTGGGATGAAGGGTGGGTTCCTATGAGAATAAGTACTGGTTCGCTCGCGCACACGCATGCCAAACCGGGAACAACCTACCTCTAGTAGGGTTCATATTAAAAGAATGCAGCATGAAAACTGCATTTAAATATGCTTTTTCAATTTTTTACTTTTCAATTTTTTACATTTTCTGGCTTAATAAATGAGAGTTCAAAACATCACCAAACATTTAAGAAACATATATTCAATCAATCTCTTAATCTGTTTCCCATTATGTATGATTTTGCATATCCATAATTGCTAAAAAAGATTTCAAACTTGCATACCATAAGTATGCATCTGTATAATTCAAGGCTATTTTTTAATTATTTTTTCATGTGCAAAATGTCAGACAGACTTTGGCATACTCTTGAGTACACATAAAAATATATATTTTTCAAGATCTTATTAGACTGTTTCATCATTTGTGGGTGTTAGGCCTGTATGGACCCAATGCAGGAAGGACTATGTATTTGTTCATCTTTTTCATTTATCTTCCATCCAGATGGTTAAACAAACAAAAACTGGTCAGATATTTTAATTTCGGTGGATATGGACAACTTTTATGCTAGACTGCTTTCTTTGAAATACTTGCCAAACCCTAAGTGAAAAATATCACTCTCATTTTGACAATTCAGTCATAATTTTATCCTTATCAAAATATTAATGTTATGGATCTCCACCTTCAGTTTTAGAAGTTCTGCTAAGAACTGGTGTTAGTTTCAAACTGACCTGTACATCCAATAATTAAAAATCTCTGAAATTAAATTCCAGATAAAGGTTCTGAATGTTCTTCTTTAAATAATGTTATTACAGTAGTGAATTATCCAGTAATATACCATTGTCTTTAAATTAATTATAACATTTTAATAGCCTTTTAAATGGTGTTCTAATTAGATTTAGATTTATTGAAATGAAGAATTTAATTCTGATAATTTAGCTTAATTTTCAGATTGATTTTATAAGTGAATAATTTAGTCTTTGGCTGGTTACCTTCAGATGTGTTGGACTCTTTTTCTTAATTCCCAGCCAACATAATAGTGGTTGAAAATTGGATCAGCAAAACTTCAGTATATTTGGAATGTCTGCTGAAAACAGTGAATTGGCTTAAAGTAATGTTCATAGTTCTGTAATCTTGATCAAAGCAGTATTTTCAGTAGGCATTTTCCCTAATAGTTAGAATTATATTTCATTCTACACTTTATTTTCTTTTACAAGATAATTTTTGCACCCAAAAGAAAAACTAAGGGTAATTTTAATTGTTAACTTATATTAACAATCAATCCCCAAGAAGTTTGTTTCTAGGTAAATATATATTTTAAATAAATGTGTGAATGCACAATTATAAGTATGAAATAAAAATGCAATATTTGATATTAATATTGATGTTTTCTTTTTTCTTTAGACTATTGGAACTCCTGAAGGACCAACTCCAAATAAATTATGAATGTTGAACAAGATGAGCTTACATCCACAGCAGATAATGATAGGTCCTAGGTTTAACAGGGCCCTATTTGACCCCTTGCTTGTGGTGCTACTGGCTCTTCAACTTCTTGTGGTTGCTGGTTTGGTCAGAGCTCAGACTTGCCCTTCTGTCTGCTCCTGTAGCAATCAGTTTAGCAAAGTAATTTGTGTGAGAAAGAATCTGAGAGAAGTCCCTGATGCTATATCTACTAACACTCGGTTATTGAATCTCCATGAGAACCAAATTCAAATAATCAAAGTGAATAGCTTCAAACACCTGAGGCATCTAGAAGTCTTGCAACTGAGCAGGAATCACATTAGAACAATTGAAATTGGGGCCTTCAATGGTCTGGCTAATCTCAATACCCTGGAACTCTTTGACAATCGTCTTAGCACCATTCCTAATGGGGCATTTGTGTACTTGTCAAAATTGAAGGAACTTTGGTTGCGAAACAACCCCATTGAAAGTATTCCTTCTTATGCTTTTAATAGAATCCCTTCCCTGAGGAGGTTAGATCTGGGGGAATTAAAAAGGCTTTCATATATCTCTGAAGGTGCCTTTGAAGGTCTATCCAATTTGAGGTATTTGAACCTTGCTATGTGCAACCTTCGAGAAATTCCTAACCTCACACCACTTGTAAAACTGGATGAGCTAGATCTTTCTGGGAACCACTTAACTGTTATCAAGCCAGGGTCTTTTCAAGGATTAATGCATCTGCAGAAATTGTGGCTGATCCAATCCCAGATTCAGGTGATTGAAAGGAATGCCTTTGATAACCTTCAGTCACTAGTAGAGATCAATCTGGCCCACAACAATCTAACACTACTGCCTCATGACCTCTTCACACCTCTCCATCTGGAAAGAATCCACCTGCATCATAACCCTTGGAACTGCAACTGCGACATCCTATGGCTCAGCTGGTGGATTAAAGACAAAGCACCCTCCAACACTGCATGCTGTGCCCGTTGCAACACACCTCCCAGCTTGAAAGGAAGATACATTGGTGAGTTGGACCTAAACTACTTCACATGCTATGCTCCTGTGATTGTGGAGCCACCAACAGACCTCAATGTCACTGAAGGCATGGCTGCTGAGCTTAAATGCCGAGCATCAACATCCCTGACCTCTATATCTTGGATTACTCCAAATGGATCTGTTATAACACATGGGGCTTATAGGGTTCGGATTTCTGTGCTCAGTGATGGCACATTAAACTTTACAAGGGTAACCGCGCAAGACACAGGCTTGTATACATGCTTGGTGAGTAACTCTGTGGGGAATACAACAGCTTCTGCAATTCTTAATGTAACCGCACAGGAGTGTATTACTTATTTTTCAACCATCACAGTAGAAACTGTGGAACCTTCTCAGGATGAGGCACGGACCACAGAACAGGTTTGGCCCACACCAGTTATTGATTGGGACACCACTAATGCGACAACCTCTCTCACACCACAGAGCACAAGGTCAATGGAAAAAGCATTCACAATTCCTGTGACAGATTTCAGCAACGGGATCCCGGGAATAGATGAGGTTATGAAGACTACCAAAATCATAATTGGTTGTTTTGTGGCAATCACTCTTATGGCTGCTGTGATGTTGGTCATTTTTTACAAAATGAGAAAACAACATCACCGGCAAAATCATCATGCTCCAACACGGACTGTAGAAATCATTAATGTGGATGATGAACTTACAGGTGATACACCCATAGAAAGTCATTTGCCCATGCCAGCAATAGAGCATGAGCACTTAAACCACTATAACTCTTATAAATCTCCTTTCAACCACACAACAACAGTTAACACAATAAATTCCATACACAGTTCAGTGCATGAACCATTATTGATCCGAATGAACTCTAAAGACAATGTACAAGAGACTCAGATCTAAACCATTTACAGATTTAAAGGGGGAATTTAAAACAAAAAAAGACAGTTTATTAAAAAAAAATGACACAGATGACTGGGCTAAATCTACTGTTTCAAAAAAAGTGTCTTTACAAAAAAAGAAATTTATTTATTAAAAATTCTATTGTGAGCGAAAGCAGACAAAATTATGTGTATTCCTCAGAACCTCTTTTTGCTGCATTTATTTACCCTACTCTACTGATTTCCCTTTCCTTTCTTCTCTCCCATACCTTCCCTTCTATCCCATTTGCCATATTTTTCATAGAACAACTTGATTCTCTAAAGAACTGGTCTAGGAATTTTTGTAAGAATTCTGTTAATGCTTTGGGGATTTTTATGGTGAATTCTAGTGGTGAGATTCAGTCTATTTTGTCTTTTTTCATTTCACTTTCTTCTCATGCCCTTTTTGAAATGGTTCAGAGGGGGAACGTTAGCAGTAGATTCACAAGAACAATCAAGGAACAGAAACAAACAAAACAAAATATTTTATTTTTCTTTTATTTTTTCACATTTCTGTATTTCCTGAAGGGACAATTCTGTGGAAGGGGGAAAAATCCAAGAAATTAATTTTCATGTGAGCATCTATAAAACCCATGATCTTTTAAACAACTCTAGAACCAGGATTTGTAGTTCAAACACTAAAATAAGATTATAAATAAAATATTGTTGGTTTTTTTCTGTACTCATTTTTAGTGTGATGTTAAAATGTCAAAAAATTGTTCCACATTTTACATTTTTTTCATTTATCATTCCATGGCTTCCCTTCAAAAACAAACAAAATAATGGTAACAAAAATATTATAACATTTTGAATTTTAACTGAAAGTAATAATACACTTTTTTACTTAATAACCAGCATACCATGCCTAAAAATTAATGATCACGGACAATAATTCAGGAAATTTACTGGGATTAAATAAATTAAATGAACTTATTGATGAAATGAATGAAAGTTATCTTCACATTTGATCAGAATTTTTCATTAGATAAAATCATTTTGTCACTGGAATGTTCTAAAAATTCTTCCTCAGAATTTTGGTTGAACAGTTCATTCTTGATTGGACACCAAAGGATTTGCTAACCTTGTTAACAAAAGTATTTGTGTGGGAGAATCCATTTTATATTTAAAGGTAAGAAAAGAAAGAAAAGAAAAAGGAAGGAAAGAAAGAAAGAGTAAAAGAAGAAAGGAAGGAAGAAAGAAAAGAAGGAAGGAAGGAAGGAAAGGAGGGGGAAGCAGGGAAAGGAAATAGGAAGAAGAAAGAAAGAAAAAGAAAGAAAGAAAGAAAGAAAGAAAGAAAGAAAGAAAGAAAGAAAGAAAGAAAGAAAGGAGAAAGAAAGAGAAAGATTTGAAATTACATTTGCTATCCAAAGTTCTAAAACCACTGGTCCAAATAATGTGATCCAGCACTAATCTTAATGATGTGTTGGAATGTGGCCTTAATTTGTAAATAAAGGTTATAATTAATCACAAGTATTATTCATCTACTTTTTCTGGCTTTGTTGGTGTCTTCTATAGCAAGCCAAGGACATCAGCAAAAGGTTCAGATATCACGAGGCTTCTTTGAAAGTAATCTTTAGTTCTAGCCAATGTTTTGTTAGTGTTCATATGAAATAAAGTTTTTATTTATTTATTTTGTTTGCATGAAAACACAGCTGCAAATATGGATGCTGTTTGCTATTTAGCTCAACTGAAATATGGTTGAACAAGATAAGCTAACAAATAAAATTGTGTCACTGAAAAAATCCAGGAACAGTATTTCCACAATATGAATTAATGGGAAAAAAATGAGTCCCTTAATTATTTTTCCTTTTATCTGACATAAACCAATGATAAGTATCAGAAATCCAAGTGAGAAGTAGACCTCAACAGGATTTTTCTATGACGAATTGAATTCCTTTTATTGTTTATATTAAAACAATATAAACTGGTTCAGAAGATCCATTGGAATTGTTCTAGTCAGAAGATCCATTCAAGATCATGTCTTTCTTCATTTTTATGAAGCATTAATTATTTTTCAGAATTAGGATGCAGAAACTGAAAATCAGAAACCAAGCCACTACAATCCAAAACATTTCTTGTAGGTTAGACCTTGGCCAAGTTCTGCTTTTTGAAGAAGGTGATCATAAGCAGAAAATTGGCATCTGATTAAACACTTGAACAACACTGAACTTTGTTTTCTTGTCTCCCTTTGATAAAAATATTATTTGAAGAAGAAAAATATTGATGTCCATATAACTAATAAATTTAAACTTGTGTTAATAATTAACACAAATATGTTTTAAAAAGCTAATCATGGGTTTTTTTTTAATCAAATGTTCAAATGTTGAGCTTCATGGCTCTTCTCATTGGAAAATTGTTGTGGTTGAATTACAGTATAATAACTTCTCTACACTATCCTTAAATAATGCTTTTGACTTGGGTAATGGAAAACAAGAATATATATTAAAGTTCCTTATAATAACTGTAAATCTCATACCATATAACAATTTGTTGTTCAGCAAAGTTTGGAAACTTACTTGTGAACTTTTCAAATCTTGAATCAAATAAGACGAGCCTTTAAAATGCTGAATGTACCTAAAGCATTTATTGTTTTTCTCCCTATTGCACCCCTAAGAACCTTCCTCTGCAAGTCATCAATTTGTCAACACTTTTTCCTTAAATTTATTGTTTCAGGCAAGAAGAGCAAGTGGAGTGCATGAAATAAAAGGGTTTTTTTTCCCTGTTGTCTTCCCCCTCGACACCAGTATCCTACGTTCTGTTCAGTATGCCTTGGTGTATTGCAAATTTCCTTATATTCTTAGTGAAATGTCATCTGCCTTGCATCTCCAGTTACAATTGTTCTTGAACATTGATTGCGTTCTTTTTATATATATATCCTTGTGGCCAATTGGTGGCATGGGAAATAGTGGTTAAGGTACTGGAATGGAACTGGGGAAAACAATTCAAGTCTGCCTTCAGCTACAAAAGTTCTCTGAGTGACTTTGAGCCAGATATACTCTCTGAGCCCAGTCAACCTCACCAGCTTTTCTGCTGTGAAAACTATGAATGTCACTTTGCACTTCTAAACAAAAGACAGGATAAAAATCAATCAAATCAATTCAACTGGTTTCAAAATAAAATGATTTATCTGGAAAGTAAGCAGCCACAAACCAGGCAGACAAAGAAGCGCATTGACACGGGTAGTGATTTTCTTTTTCTTTGCTCTTGTCATTGAATATGGCCAATAGAATCAAACTAGCCACAAGCACAAAACAAAACAAAACCCCCTAAGAAATGTTAGTTCTGCAGAGGAATCCAGATTGTTTATGTTTAGATATGGTTTCTGTTGTGGGATTTTCCAAAAATGAAAGTTAAGATCTGTTTTCTAAATTCAATTTGACTTAATAGCATAGCTTTCGAAAAATTTAATTTGCAACGTATCAAGGACTGTTTTGTATCCAACAATTGCAACATGGTTAATTCATTTTCATTTTTACACAAACCTAATAGGTCAACCATAAGCCTAACATTATCAGGTACTTGATGTCCTTTAATGAAACTGAATTGTATTGAGTGGTGTATTGAATGTAATGCCTTCTTCAGCTATGTGACAGAAATATAGTAGCTGTTAGCTGTTAGCTGTTAAAAGATTAGCATCAACCTTGCAAAATAACTATTCACACAATTGGTGGGATCCTTTCTTGTTTTACTGTAATATATTCCTCATAGTTTTCTTAGGCTAAAGCCCTATTTTTGAACGATTTCTTGTGAACCTCTAGCAGAATAAGAGGCATGTTTTCCTTATTGTCTTATACCATTGAGGGAATCCCATATGTCTTGGCGACTGACATTTTTTTTCTTTCTGTCCCAGATTTGTTCTTTCAATGGTGTCAAATATTAGTTCAAGGTGCAGCTAACTCTTTTTAAAGAACAAGATCTCTGGAAAATTTATTCTATCTGAAAAAACATTTTTCTCAATGAGTATGCGTACATTCCTGGAATATAAAATTTTATTATACTCTAGAAACAGAAAGCTAATTTTGTTGTTGTCTCTGTGAATTATTCCTCCAAAATTTCCTGTTGTGGTATAATCCTATTTTGATTCAATTGTTTGGATGTGAAAATAATAATTTACCAGATTGTTTTCCTTGTTCTCAATAGAACTATTTATTACACTTTAATAAGTATTTAGTATTTAAGAGACCTAATTTATCAAGTCATAATTTAAACAATGTGCTTCCAAAGTATGCTTTCTACAACATATATTCAATGCTTTATGTGTGTTTCCAGTATTTTACAATATAAGTCTTTTATTTTTGTCCTTCAAGAGGCATACATCTTATGCTCTACAAATGCTTTAAAAATTGGCATTACACAATTTCATCCACATACCCTAATGATAATAGACTTGTAGTGAAACATCTCACTGGAAAGATCAAATATATTAATCTTTTAAATCTTTTGTTTATCTTCTAACCAACCAATTATTTATTGATTTTTTGCCTGGTATATAGACAAAATCCATTAGAAATTTGGCTGAAAGTACAGGAACAAAGTCCAGGAATACAATTTCTACCTTCACGACTATATTGTTTCTTAAAATTTCAGTTGAAATACCTCTTTATCCCTTCAAGAAAGTAAATCAAAAATCGTTTCAACGGATTTCAAAGTTTGGGTTGATTCCACTGCAATGAAAGCAATATATTCAGCTGCTGGAAGTCAACATCTATAAATAACAACATTCAAAATGTGGCTTTGTTATTTACAAATTTTCTGTCTTCACTGATTTTCAGTTCTATGGTTCTGATCACGTATTTAGAAATATCTTGCCTCACAGAAATAGTTTTTTATATAAAAGGTGAATGAGTGGAAAGCCTTTGTTTAGAATATGAATCTAACATTCCTTTTTATTGAAAGAAGTGAAAAATGATTGGATCTATGCTGAGACCACATGTAAGGAGAAAATATGAACAATATAAACTTGATTAAATCTCTAGGTAACTAAGCAGTAAAGCAGTAAATTGTGGCATCCAAATCTAGTAATCTAAATAAGAATGATGATTTAAATGTCAGATCTAAATTTGATTTCAGAATGTTTTATTTACGCCAGTTTAATTGGAATTTCACACAGGTGCTTTAAGAACAAGATAAATATAGCAGAACATACCTACTTTACTTTACTTACTACTTACTTACTTACTTACTTACTTACTTACTTACTTACTTACTTTGCATGCAGAGTCATTTGTCACAACATTCTTTGCCAGAATTGTAAACCTAAAGTTGGTGATAAATCACACCTAAATGGTCATTCATAAGCTCAGACAATAACTGGATTTTGTTCATATCTAATTTACATCTAATCAAAGATGTAAAAAAAAGGTCTCTTGAGTCTTATAATCCAGTTACATGCATTATTGGAGTCTTCTTGAGCAGGCAGCTATGAAATTGTCACTATACACCCAATTTTGGGAGTTAGAAAGACCAGCATTTAGTAGAAAAAGTTCTTTCCATTTGCAACTCAGCAGAAATTTTATGGAATATGAATGTTGGATAATTTAATCTCTGATATTAAATGTGTTGCTTGTATAATAAACAGAAACTCAAGTCTGAAAAGGAAGGTAAGTACAGTATGAACCATCCTGTACAATAAGCATAATAGATAGATGCCCTAATAGTTTTGTAGCATTTTTCATTCATTCTTGAAAAATAACTTAAATTCCAAGGATTTTAATTTCTGAATAAGTG